TATAGCAACTCTTTTTGTGGTAGCAAAAAATTGGAAATTGAGGGCATGTCCATCAGGGAATGTCTAAACAAGTTGTGGTTTATGATTGTAATGGATTTTATTGTGTTATAAGAAATGATGAGCAGGCTGATTTCAGAAAAACCTGGAAATATTTATATGAACTGATACAAAGTGAAGTGAGTAGAACCAGGAGAACAGGAATGCTGTACCACGAACAACTGTGAATGACAGCTATTTTCAGCAACACAATGATCCAAGACAATTCCAAAAGACTTATGATGAAAAATGCTATCTGATTCCAGAGAAAGAACCGATGATGTCTGGATATGGACCAAAGCATACTATTTTTAATTTTTTTTGTTCAGTTTTCTTCTACAAAATGACTAACATGGAAATGTTTTGCATGACTGCACACGTATAACCTATATCAGATTGCTTATTGTCTCAGGAAAGGGGAAGGAGAGGGAGGGAAAGAGAGAATTTGGAACTCAAAAAAATCCCAACCCAACAAATGCTAAAATTGTTTTTACATGTAACTGGGGGAAAATAAAATACTATTTTTAAAAAATAAAAGGGCAGATTTCCTGTGCATTGAGTATTTCAGAGACGACTCGCTAACAATGCAAGTTTAACAGTTCTAGAATTGATCTTTCCTCTTATAGGAAGTGGAGGATTAAATAGATGGCACTGAAAGTAGAGGAGCAACAAGGGAATAAAGTCACAGCAGAGAAGTGAGCGTAAGGTCTGAGTTTTGCCCTTCCCTATTACTGTGAGTATCTTAGACGGGACAGTCCAATGGGAAGCGGTTTGTTCCTCTAACCTCAAGTTCATTTTCCTTCTAGGATGGGGAGAGACTGGGCCCTCAGAGGAACATATGAGTCTGCTAAAAGACAGATTCAACACAGTATTCAGGGTTTGCCTTCCCCACTACACCCAAAATAATTTTCCTTCCAAGGGAGTATAAAACAAAGACGAGTGGTATACGTCTAGAAGACTGGATTGTCCCCAGAGGTAGAGGAAGGGAAGCAGTTAAAACACACTAGGGAGAGAAATGGAACCATTTTGACTGTGAGCTAGTGGGATTCCTTTATGTTGTTTTTCCCCGCTTCATTTTCTATGGGGTGAAATAAAAGTTGTCTCATATTTTAAAAAAAAACCCAAAACAGGTATTTTACCTTAACAGCTTGTTTTTTCACACAAGTAAAGGTTGGTTTTGCCTACAAATTTCTTTGTGCCAATCAATACCTTGGGAATGTTTTAATGAAATATTTATATTATATATATATATAATATATATAAATAACACACACACACACACCCACACCCACATACCTGTGTATAATAAATTTGATACTGATTTTTTGCACTAGAAGGTAATTTTTTTTAAAAAAAGCACTTTCAAAGGTAATTTAAAAAAAAAAAGCACTTTCACCACAAATCTAACAAAGCACTACAGTTTACATACAGGAGATGAAATAAAATCAAGTTATTCAATGGAACACAACCTGTACTTGCCTCTTCAAAATAGATCTTTTTTGTTTTTTGTTTGTTTCTTTTTGCAAATTCCTGGAAATCGATTTTTGGAGACTTCTTTCACAAATTAAATCATTTCCCTTCAGTGTCCCTCCCTTTCCCTCAGAGTACTTATCTGTCTCATATACCCATAAAAACAAAAGTTCCTTAAAGTAGTTAAACCCCTATTTCCAAACAACATGATCAATTTTTTTTCCATATTCTTTGTTCCCCTCCTTAAAAACATTTATCAAAGGTATGCTGCCAGCATCTTTCAAATATAAACACACTTAAGCCAGTTGCTACTGGAGGACTTTTTAAAACAGTTCTGAACAAACCTTATATGTTATATTCTGGCAGTTTTCATCCACTGAAGCGTTTAGGATAGGAAATTGCAATAATCCCAAAGATGCAGCCTGGTAAAAAGAAAAAAAAAATGCTACCTTTAGTCATTTAAATTGGCTATGAAGAAGGGGAGGGGAAAAAAAAAAACACAACACAAACCTTTTTTTATCTTGGGTCTAAATTTCAAGCCAATAACACCAATAGGTGACACTGATCTTAAATGTAAACTTCTGATCTGAGAGAATGAGATAGCTCTAATCATTAAAGAAACAAAGACAAGGTAGTCAGCTTTTGAGTGTCAAAGGGACTTCGAGGATGAGAGATGGAAAAGGACAGACCTCTATAGAACCAAAGTTAATTTCTAAAATCTAAGACATGCCTTTATGTAAATAAAACATTAAGAATTCTATGGACCTAACACTTCTTTGAAAGGAGAGGTTCAGGCTAGGTGATATTTGAGGCCCCTACTCAGTTTCATGGATTGTAATGACCAAGGAATTGATCTTCTAGTGGCCACCCTCCTAGTGGTGAGCTTCTCTATACTTAGGAAACTTCACAAGAATGCTAAAGATAAAAAATGGTAAACAAAAACACCATTTAAAATGTATTGAAACAGCATCAACAATAGCATCAAAAAAGAGAAGGAATACCTTGGTACAATAAAATAGATAATAGACAAAGAAAGGAATTAAAAGAAATGATATGTGCAAAGAAACACAAGAGGAAATAAGTGAAAAGCTAGAAATACCTGAGAAAAATAAGGGCATAATATTGAATTTCAAACTGATTTAGAAATTAGCATGGAAAATATGACATTAACGGAAGACATTAAATGCAAAATTAGTCAACTGAAGGACAGAATGGAAGAAAATTATGAAAAATAAACCTATAAACTAATATGATTAGAAAAATACTAGGAATTAATACAGAGGAAAATGATGGATCTGGAGAAGAGATAAAAATGGTGGGATCTTCAAAATAATTGCAATTCTAGAGAATTTTGAAAAAGATAACAATCTGGTCACTATTTTCCAGGAAACTGTAACAATAAAACTTCCTAAAGTATGGAAGATGTTATCATAATTAAAAAAGAGAATCCATAGAACACTAACAAGAAAGGACCCTACATTCAGCTCATCTAAACACAGCAAATATCAAGCTATGAAGACGAAGGAAAAAATCCTTCTGTCCAAAAATCAAGTTATCAAAAAACCTATATATCCAAATCTAATAAGATTTTTCTACAAGAACAAGAGCTGACAGAAGAAAATGAGTTAGAACAAATAAAGGAGAACATAAAGTTCAACCCCAGAATCTATTTCCCTGAAAAACTAGGTACTCTTACTGAAAACAAAAGATCACAGGGTTTATTTAATTCAAGAATAGTTTGAGTAATTTCTGGAGAAAAGATCCAGCTTCAGAGTAGACAGCTAGGGTAAACAAGAGGTTCTTAAAAAAAATTCATGAAAAAAAAAAAAGTTTGAAAATAGAAAGAAGAAGAAAAGGGAGGGGGAATGGAAATGCAATCAAAAACTTTTCCAGAAGATCTAGAGAAAATACCAAGAAGAGCTAGAATACTTTTTAACTCTGCTTACCTAACTGTTAGCTCAGTGCATTCAACAAAGGACTAAAACAAACAAACAACAAACAAACAAACTTAGGTACAGCTTTATTTAAGTGGAATGGGAATGGACAAAGAGGAAGAGACAAGGGCAAAAAAAATCCCAATACACATAATGTGAAAGGCATTATGGAGCCTCAAGTTCAAGTACTGCCTTTGTCACATATTGGCTGAGTAGCCCTAGGCCAAGTCACAGAACCACTCATTCTCAGGGAACTCTCTAAGACTCTAAGTTGCAGATAATACACCAATTTGTATTGACAGAAGATGCTCTTCACTGAAAGCCCTTGCCCCAATGAAATTACAGTTAAAAAAAATTTAAGAAGAAAGGCTAATACCTATAAAATAGGAGGAGATAGGGTAATCTTGCAACAAAACTCCTATCTTTAACAAAGGATATTGGGATTTGGTACAAATTAAAGAGTAACATAAAACAAATGAATTTAGTTTAGTTTTTTGGTTAAGTTCAGCAAGAACTGAAATTATTAAAATAATGAAAAATGAATTCCTTTCTGACAAAATGAACACAACAAATAATTTAAGAGGTAAGTCAAATTTAACAATTACAATTTTGAACATAAATGGACTGAATTCCCCTACAAAAAGATAGTTATAGAGTGGACTGAAAATACAATTCAATAATGTTACCCATAGAAAACATTTCTAATGTCAAAAAGTCAAAAAGCATAAAGAGATGTAAGAAAAAGTAAATTTTGTCATGCTATAACTAGCTCAAGAAAATTGCTGCAGCAATCATACTATGATTAAATTAGAAATCATTAAGATAAACAAGGATACTTAGTGCTTAAAGATACCACTGAGGAGACTTTAAGAATCTTGAATAGGTATACACCAAATAATATGGTACTTAAATTGACAAAGAAAAAATTAAGAATTTCCCAAAAATAAATAAATAGAAAGTTAATAGGATATTTCCATACTTTGCTAATACAATGCAAAGAAAAAGATAAAACAAGGTTACAGCTTGAATAGGGTGTTGAAATTTATTTTGACAGACATGGGAAAAGCTGAATGGAATAAACAGGTGATATGTACATTTTTCAAATACAAATGAAACATTCACAAAACTAATCAAGATCTAGCTTATGGAAAAGTTACAGTTAAATTCACAGACAGATTTTGTAGATTTAAGTATCATAATAAAACTGGAAAAAAAACAATAAACACATGATCAAATGGTACAAGCCTAAATGGAAATTTTTAAAGCATGTACTAAAATGCAGCCTGTATTAAAGAATTATTGAAATAAAAACAGATTACTTCAAAGATAATGACATCATAGACACAAGATACCAAAATTTATGTGATTCAGAGATTTTATAGCCCAGAACACCTGTAATAACAAGAAAAACAACAACAAAAATCAAATAAGTTGTTTGCATTTACTGAAATATGTTACTTAATTCAGAAATTTAACATACCTCAAACCAGTGGAATATATAAAATAACATAAAATTTATACTGAAAAACAAAGACACAAAAATATTAAGAAGAACTGTGGAGGAAAAATGAGGGGTAAGGAGAAGCTGCACAAGTGGTAACTATTTGGTACTAGATGAAAAAGTAAATTAATGGACCAAATAGAAAATCCAACATTAAAATCAAAGACATACAATTTATTGCTGCTTGATAAACTTAAGATTACAAAACCTTGGGTAAGGGATAATTTTTCAACAATTTTTATTTTATAAACTGCATAGAAATATGATGAAAAAAATGGAGATTAGACCTACAATTTCATATCTTACATTTCAATTACCCATGATGATGTCAGAAAGGGTAATTTTCTTCTCAACTTGCTATAAAGTCTTCGAGTTGCTATGGTGAAATAATTCACCACTCTGCAAACCAACCTGGTAACAAGTCTCTTTTGATTTAGCTAACCTCCTCATCATATAACAGACATATAAGTCAGTCTCTGGGACCCTACTTGAGGGTTGTTCAACTTGTTATGATTTACAAAAACTTGTGTTCCTCTGTCATAGCCCTGGAAAACCCAAGGTTGCCTCCATCTTATGATGAATCATTGATGCAGGCTCATGTCATATAATTTAGTAAAAAGTCTATCAATGATGTAAAAATAGTTATTACATGCACACAAAACATTAATTTTTCTTCTGTTTTGTCTCAATTGTTGAGGAAAGGAAAATGCTTACCTACCAAACAAATAGACATTTCCTTCAATGACCTGTGATTTCACCGAGGACACTACTTTTTTTTATCAATACACATCTCTGCTGTACAACTCTCTACTCATTAGAATGACAAAAATAGTTAAATATTATAAAATTCAACTAAGCTGGTGGTATGGGAAATTGGTATTCTGTTACACTTCTGATGGTGCTGTAAACTTAACCATTTTGGAAAACAATTATCTGGCAATGTATAATATGAGGTATAAACTAATTGTGCCTTTTTGGCCTACCGTTCTTACTTACTAAGATTATACTCTAAGAAAGTTAGATAAAAAGGGAAAAGACGACCTTTCTGTTAAAAAAATTCCTAGTAGCTTTTTTTCTAATAGTGTAAGACTAGAAACACTCTATGTGTCTAATGACTATGGAATGCCTGAATAAACCGTGATGTATTAACGTCACATAAGAAATGTACAATATGGGGACAGCTAGATGGCACAGTGGATACAGCACCAGCCCTGGAGTCAGGAGGACCTGAGTTCAAATGTGGCCTCAGATCAAACACTTGACATTTACTAGCTGTGTGACCCTGGGCAAGTCACTTAACCCTAATTGCCAAAGAACAAAAACAAAAACCAGAAATGTACAATATATTGCAACATAAAAATGACAAATATGAAGAATATAAAGAAATATGGAAAGCCTTAGGAAATGACAGAGTGAAGAAGGCAGAACCAGAGCATACACACTGATAACTACATAAAATATGATGACAACCAAATAAGTACACAGAATAAAATAATTTGGAAGAGAAGACAATAAGATGTCAGTTTTTATTTATTTTATTCAAATTAACATACATATTTTTTCCTTTTAACCATTTCTAAATGGTCTGAATTCATATACTGCTACCACCCTAATTTATGTCCTTGTCAAGTCTCAACTGAACTATTAACAGTTCCGACTGCCTGATTCTAGCCTCTCCCCTCTCTAGTGTAACTTTCATACAATTACTAAATTACTAAAATACTCTACCTAACCCAGGTTTAAACACATCCCTGCCCTGCTTTAAATCCTATACTGGCTCTCTCTATTACCTCTAGGATAAAATATAAAGACATTTAAGGTCCCCCACAATCTAGCACCTACCTACCTCTCCAGATTTAAGTTACATCACTCCAGACAAACTAGACTATTGGCTAATGCTGTGTCCACTCCCAAAGAATGCATGAAATGTACTTCCTCTACATCTCCACCTTACCTAAGATCTTGTTCTTCCTTCAACACTCATCTCAATTGTCACCTACTCAGTGAAGCCTCTCCTGATCCTTTTCCTTCTATGTCTGTCTCTGGATGTATCTCTCTATGTATGACTGTGTTTGCATGCCTCTGTATGTGTGTATGTCTCTGTTTCTGCATATATCTCTCTTTGTATGTCACTATGTGAGTGTATACCTCTGTGTATGTGTGTGCCTCTGTCTCTGACTCTTAAATTTACTAGAATACTTTGGTCAGGATCTCTCATTTGGTCTGATCACAAATGTGCTTTTTGTATATCTCCCAATTATAATACAATGTAAGATCCTTGAGGGCAAGAACTGTCATTATTTATTTAACTTTGTATCCCCAGCATCTAGCATAGTGCCTAATACATAGTAGTCACTTAATGCTTGTCAAACTGAATAATTTTATCGATGACTTTATTTTGATTTTGTTTGACTTTTCTGCTTAATGGTTATAAAGTTATAATTAAAGGTTTTTAAAAAGAGCTCACTGGCAAAAGTTAATCCTTGTTGCAACGATGAACTTTAAAGTCTCAAATGGCAGTAAAGGGGCTTTCAAGAGAAAAAAGAATTTTAAAGGCCATGATGGCAAGGACAATATCTCATCTAACCTTCTTATGTCCTGGAGTATAACTCTGTAGTCTCTTAATAAGTGTTTGAATTGGAATTATGAAATCAATTAGATTTTTTGGGGGAGGGCTCGGTAATGGGGTTAAGTGACTTGCCCAGGGTCACACAGCTAGTAAGTGTTACTTGTTTGAGGCCACATTTGAACTCAGGACCTCCTGAATCCAGAGCCAGCGCTCTATCCACTGCGCCACCTAGCTGCCCCCAAAGGTATTATTATTATTTTTTTTTTTTTTTTGTGTGCTAGGCAATGGGGTTAAGTGACTTGCCCAGGGTCACAGTGCTCGTGAGTGTTATGCGTCTGAGGCCAGATTTGAACTCTGGTCCACCTGACTCCAGGACCAGTGCTCTATCCACTATGCCACCTAGCTGCCCCTCATTAGATTTTCAAGTCAATGATAACAGGAACATAGGGTGTGAGAATTTTAAGACATTCATTTCCAAGCCTGAGAAGTCCCCATTTCCTTTTCCTCTCCTTCTCTGTTTTCCGGTTTCATTATCTTCAGTGTGTTTCTCTAAGAGGTAGTACGGGAAACTAACTAAAACTAATCTAAAATAATCTTAATTAAATCAAGTTTAATTAGTTGAATTAAATTTCATTGAATCACTGTTTGAAATGGAAACAATGAATAATGAGTCACATTATCTGAATTCAAAGGCTTACCAGAATAAGTCAGCATCGTATAATGGAAAACACAATAGTAATAGCCAGCATTTATACAGCACTTTAAGATTAGCAAAGTGCTTTGATCCTCACAATGACCCTATGAGGCAGGTGCTATTATTATCCTAATTTTATACATGAGGAAACTCAGGCTGAGAAATCAAGAGACTTGTCCAGGGCTACACAGTGAGTGTCTGAGGCTGGATTCAAACTCATGTCTTCCTGAGTTCACATGAAGTTCTCTCTCTTCTTTGTCAGCATGCTGCCCCTACTAGCAGACCTCAGTTTTTATACTGACTCTGCCAGTTGCTATGTGACTAAGTGCAAATCAGTTAACCTTTCTGGCCTTCAGCATTCTCATTTGTAAGATAAGAGGGTTGATCAGCCAATCTCTTAAGACCCCATCTAGCTCTAACATTATGTGGGCTCCCATGGTTTCAATTTTCACTTCTCTGTAGATGATCTGCAAATCAATATAATCAACCATAATGTCTCTCCTGAACTTTTCAGTCCCCAATTACCAAATACTTGGACAGTGCCACCTGCATGTCCCACTGGCACCTCAAATTCAGCATGTTTTAAATAGAACATTTTTTTCCCTTAAAACCTTCCTTCTTTGAAATTTCTACTGATGGTACCACTGTTCTTCTAGCTACCCAGGAATTATCTTTAACTCTTTCCTCCCCTTTAACCCTTATATCCAGTCAGATAAGTCTTACTGATACTTAGCTCCACAACACCTTTGTTATCTAAAAAGAATAGCTAGCATTTACATAGTGTTTTACACAGTGTTTTGCAAAATTCTATAGTCATCAATCTGTTCCCTTCTCTCTACTAACATAGCTGCTACCCTAATTCAGGCCATCAAGACCTCTTCCATGGATTATTCTAATAACTTCCCAAATGGTCTGCAGGGTCCCCTCTCCAATCTTTCACACAGTTGCCAAAATGGTATTCCTAAAGCACAAGATTTGACCATGTTACTTTCCTCCTGCTCCTCCCACACCTCTCATTCAAGAAATCTTCAATGGCAACCTACTGCCTGTAAGATAAAATCCTGACTTCTCAGCCTGGCATATAAAGTCCTCCACAATCTGAGGCCTACCAATCTATCCAGTCTGAGCTCACATGAATCTCCTTCCCACACTCTTTATTCAAGTCAGTCTGATCTAACTGTTGCCCATACATTTTACTTCTCATCCTTGCACAAGTGGTACCTCACCCCACTATCTGGAATACTTTCCTTCATCCTCTCCCCCTCAAAGCATCTTTAGTTTGTCCTCAGGCAATGTCTTCCACCTAAGCCTTTTCTTGACACCCCCTCATTTTTAGTATGCTCTCCCCTCTTGACATTACTTTGTATTGCTTTGCATATACTTTGTCTTTACAAGTGCACATGGTATATAAGCTCCTAAAGATAAAACCATTATGACTATTAGAAATAAAATCTGTTTAGAACATTTTTGTTTGTATTTCATATTCCCTGCAAAATACCTTATATATAGTAGGTGCTTAATTAATGTTTAATGAAATGAATTCAATAAATCTAAGATTATATGACCCTGTGAATATAGACTAAATGTCTCACAATAGACAACACTATACTTAGAAAGGATGGTTAGATAAAAGATAGTAAGGAGATACTTAGATTAAGAACTCTTGGGGAACAAGAAAAAAAGGGGAATTCATGAGAAATTTTAAATACTATGTTTGAATAAAAAGTAATATTTGATTGGGAAATCCACATTCAATGTACTACATTTTTGATAAACTGAATTTCAATTGCTCTATACTTGATGCCTCTAATATGAATGAATTCTCACCTTTAAGAAAAAAGGCATAAAGGAGAGTTTAATTCCACGGGCTAAAGCTATGGGCTTTAATTCTTCTCGTAGCTTAATCAGTTGAGTAAGGTCAACTTCATCACAATAACCAAAATGAGGAATCTTCATGGCCATACACATGGTCTTGACCATAGCTTTCTCAAAGCCTGAAAAAAATTGAGTAACCATTTATCAGAAACTTATTTTAACAAAACATTACATTTTTATGATCTTTAATTTCAAAAATGAAATCTTTTTTTTTTCTTATGACAACTCTCTACCTTACAAAACCTGGAAGCTGCTGATTTTGGACAACTAAGGGAAATGTATCCAATGGTACATGGCATTGTTTTAAGTGTGTTTTTTTTTTTGAGGCTGAAATATTCAATAGCTCAAGATGAGAATTTAAACAGATAAGTCTCTTTCGATTTTTAATTGTCACATGACTGTCATTTACAACATTGCACATAGTCCCCAGATGTTTTGTATGAGTCTGTAAGTAAACCAGAATATGCTACCTTCTGAAAACTTGAATTCAAAAGGAAAAGCTGAAATTTTGCATGTCTTCAAATAAAACCATAAATAATAGAGCTTATATTTTAAGTAAACTTGCTCTAGTATTACTCATTAGCAGTTATCAAAAATTTACCTGTTTAACTAATACTTACATGAAACTTGGAGAAAAATAGGAATCAAAATTACTTTGCAGCCTCTTGATGAACTAATCTCCTAACTAACTGGTGGTCTAATAACAGAACAGAAAGTCCCAAAACCTGGTTGAAGGAGAAACAAAATATAACAAACTATGAAAGGACAGAGCAAAGCAGATAGCCTCATCTACTGTTATAACAACTACTTGCTCTCCTTGTTTAAGGGACTCTGCAGTCTTCTGCAGAGACACTTCTGCAGAAGGGACTTCTTTCACAACTGTAAAAGTATTTGGTTACTTGCCCTAGTCTACTGCCCTTGAATGAGCATTGTTTTCTTATAATAAATCCTGCCAGTTGCATACCAAATACTCCCCTCTTCTGATTCAGCTGAGCCCCTCTCTTTCTCCATGCCTCCCATTCCTCCTGGGTGATGCTTTATTTATCCATTCTAAGTTTCTGCAGAATGCTAAGCCAGCCTGAACGGTTATAAAAACCATATCTGTATCCTAGAAAGTTGAAGCTACCTCATGAAAACAATCTTCCTTAGCATACTAATAAATTTCTTACCTTAAAGTTGACCTCCTACCCATGACCCACAGTTATCAGACTTCTACTGGTGAATACATATCTCCCCAAAAGATTCCATTCCTCTTGGTTGAGAGAATTCCTCAACAAATTCAATTCATTATAAATTTGCCAATGTCATACTTGACCAGACCTTTTCAAGAAATTTCCCTAAAGGTTATTTTACTGATACATTATATTAATGACTTTACCTGTTATGGGTTCTGTTCTATCTTTGCCTGTAAATACTTTAGGTTTCAGCACTGGTAGAGGAATAGATTGAATTGTTTCAGATTTTATTACAGGTGGGATGATTTCAGACTTTGGTGATGGAGGTAAAATAGCTCCTGTCTGCTTTGCCAAATAATTGAGAATATCTTCTTTAAGGATTCTACTGTCTTTTCCTGTTCCAACAACTTCACTCAGTTTTATCTGAAAAGTAATGTATAACAAAAATAAGATTTTTTTCAGTTAATAAATTAATCCATTCTCAACAGGACAAAGCTAAACATTAACATATTCATTATATCAAAAAAGCTCTAGGATTAAAATTACATTTTATACTTCAGTATTTCTCACTCAGAAGATAATTACTTTTTCACTGTTTTAGTTTGTCTATGTGCTAACTAAACTATACTTCAAAATTGCTAAAGGTGAATTCAAATGATTTAAGCTTTCAGGCATTCTTAGATGTGCATAACCATTACTATACTTCTGTTAGGGAAAAAAGGTAACAAAAATGAATGAAAACAGACAACTTAAAATTTGAAAATGATACGTTTGTTAAATACCAACAAGTTTTAACCAATTTCTTGGTTAAATAAAAAAGTGTAACAATGAAAAGAACAACCATAGCAAAGCTCTCAAATACCTTCTCATTTATTTTTTTGCTAGAAAAGTATATAAATTATCAAAAACAATCATATTAGAGGCACATTTGGCATCTGAATATCTTAATTACTGGGTTAAGGATTGGTTGATTCAATTGGGAATGTTTAGTCTGGGAAGAAGGAGACAGGTAATGATAATTTCAAAGTTTTCAAGAGCTATCTTATGGAAGAAAGCTAAGACTTACTCTACTTGGCTCCAGAAGGAAGAACTAGGACCAATGAGTAGAAGTTGCAGATACTCTTGCCTTGTTCAGACCACATCATGAATACTGTGCTTAGTTCTGCATGCCATATTTTAGGAAGGAAACTGATGAGTTTCCCTTCCAAGGAACTCATCCAGAGGAGGGCAACCCATATGGTGAAAGCCCTAGGGACTACGACATAGGAGGACTGGTTGAAGGAAATAGGGATACTTAGCCTGGAGGAGATAAAGCTTAGGGGAACATGATAGTTTTCAAGTATCTGAAAAGCTACCAAATGAAAGTGGGCTAAGACTTACTCTACTGTAGAACTAGAATCAATGAATAGATGGAAGCTGCAGACAGCCAAATTTCAACTTGATAGAAGAAAAAACTTTTTTAAACATTTTTTCATTTTGAATTCCAAATTCTCTCCTTCTCTCCAGTCCCTCTTCCACCCACTGAGAAGGCAAGCAATCTGATACCCTTTATACATGTGAAGTCATGCAAAACATATTTCCATATTAGTCACGCTGCAATAAAGCAAGAAAAATAAAGAAAGTAAGAAAAAAACGCTTCAATTTGTACTCAGAGGTCATCAGTGCTCTCTCTGGAGGTAGACAGCATTTTTCACCATGAGTCTTTTGGAACTGTCATGGATCGTTGTATTGATCAGGGTGGCTAAATCTTTCACAGTTGATGATTGTCATAGTATTTCTGTTACTGTGTACAATGTTCTCTTGGTTCTGTGTTCATTTCACTTTACATGATATGAGCTTTCCTTCTTAAAAATTAAAAATGTCCCAAGGTAGAATGGGTTGTCTCAGGAAGGATTAGGTTCACCGGAAGTCTTTAAGTGAAGATTAGATGATGACTTGTTGAGGATGTTAAAGAAGGAATGTTCAGAGTCAGATTGGACTCCCAACACTGAGATTCTGTAATATTAAATTACAAGGAGACAGGGTTTGGCTCAACCTAAGAAGAAACTTTCTAACAAGAGCTGTTTGAAAATGGAATGGACTTTTTCACACAGTGGTGAACTCATTGAACATGCAGTTTGTAGTTTCATGCAGTAATGAGTTCCTTTTTACTGGATATATTTAAACAGAAGCTGAATATTAGGATGTTGTACAGGAAATTAATTTATTGGGGGATCATAGGATCATAGATTTAGACCTGGAAAGGGCCTTAAACATCATGTAGTCCAAGCCCCTGATTTTATAAATCATGCATGAAAGGCCATGAGAGGTTAAATAACATACCCAAGGTCACATAAGACTCAAACCTAGGTCCTCTGAATTAAAATCCAATGCTCTTGTCATTGTCAAACTGCTTAAAACCTCATCAATGTATATTATTGTAGGCCTAAAGGAACAGGCCTAAGTGATGTTACTGCTATCAGCCCTGGTGCTAAACCTTAAGAACCCCTGGACTTTGCCATCTTCCATTATTGTATTCTGATGGCCTGGACCATTAGGCCTTTCTTACTGTCCTAAAACTGAATTCCTTCATTTGTGCTCTCTCATCCAGTTAGAACATAAACTCCCTGAGAACAGGACAGTCTGGGTTTTCTATTTGTAGCCTCAAAGCTTAGCATTGAATTTGATACATAAAGAATGCTTAATAAATGCTTTTATTCAGTCATTTAAGAGGAATGAGACTTAGATAATAGTAGTACAAATACACTTAACTATACTTTAATGCCTTTCAACTCCAGAATTTTACTCAATAGAAATATATTGTTTATAATGTTTACATTTATATTGTTTACTCTTGGGTAAATAAGATATTATAGCTTAATTTGAAAAAAAGATGCTTTTGGACCACTTGACTCCCTGCTCCTTTTTGCCTCTTTTTAATTTTTGATGTAGCTGCAAGGTATTTCTATTAAACTATAATTCTATTCTGTCTACATTAATGTGGGTAGAGAAGTAACTGACTACATTCTTGCAAATATTATGCATCAATTCCTCATTCTTAAGCTCTATTCCATTTATATGAATGTTTTTCTTTCTGTGAAATAAATTTAATATTTTTCTCAATTACATGTAAAAACAATTTTAACATTCTTTTTAAAAATTCTGAATTCTAAATTCTTTCCCTCCTCTCCCCCCGCATTGAGAAGGCAAGCAATATGATAATAGGTTATACATGTGCAGTCATGCAAAACATATTTCCACATGAGTCATGCTGTGAAAGAAAACAGGCCAAAAAAAAAGGGAAAAAGTATGTTTTGATCTGCATTCAGATTCCATCAGTTCTTTTTCTACAGATGGATAGCATTTTTCATCATAAGTTCTTAGGAATTGTCTTGGATCATTGTATTGCTGAGAATAATTAAGTCATTATTCACAGTTCATCATCGTACAATATTGCTATAACTGTGTACAACATTCTCCTCGTTCAGCTCATTTTACTTTGTGTCAGTTTATGGAAGTCTTTCCAGGTTTTTCTGAGAGCTTCTTGCTCATCATTTCTTATAGTGCAATAGTATTTCATCACAATCAAAAACTATAATGTTCAGTCGGCCATTCCCCAATTGATGGGCATCCCCTCAATTTCCAATTCTTTGCCAACACAAAAGAGTTGTCGTATTTTTGTACATATAGGTCTTTTCCTTTTTCTTTGATCTCTTTGTAATACAGACCTAGTAGTGGTATTGCTCAGTCAAAATGTATGCATGGTTTTATAACCTTCCAAATTACTCTCCAGATTGGTTGAATCAGTTTATAACTCCACCAACAGTGCATTAGTGTCTCAATTTTCTCATATCCCCTCCAACATTTGTCATTTTCCTTTTCTGTCATATTAGCCAATCTGATGGGTACAGAATGGTACTTCAGAGTTGTTTTAATCTGCATGTCTCTAATCAAAGTGATTGAGACCATTTTTTATATGACTACAGAGAGTTTTGATTACTTTGTCTGAAAACTGCCTGTTCATATCCTTTGACCATTGATCAACTAGGAAATGGTTTATTTTTTATTAGACTCAGTTTTCTATATATTTGAGAAATAAAGCCTTTTTCAGAGAAACTTGCTGTAAATTTTTTTCAAAGGTACGATTACTGTGTATTTTCCTCCATCCTGTTTTCCCCCATTTATCCCACTCTTTCTTCTTTCACCCTTTCCGTTCTCAAAAGTGTTTTGCTTCTGATCACTGACTCCACCGATCTGCCCTGACTTTTATTAGCCCCTCTCCCTCTTGTATTATTTCCTTCCTTTCATACCTTCCTGTAAGGTAAGATATATTTCTATACCCAATTGAGTGTGTATGTTATTCCCTCTTTGAGCCAGTACTTTTATGAGAAAGGTTGAAGCAATTCCCCCACCACACACACACACACACACTTTCCCCGTCTTCCCTTCCACTTTAAAAGCTCTTTCATATGTCTTTTATGTGAGACAATTTACCCCATTCTACCTCTCTCTTCTCCCTTCTCCCACTGCATTCCTTTTCCTCACCCCTTAATATTATTTTTTTAGATATCATCCCATTACATTCAACCCATATCTGGTGCCTTCTGTCTGTGTATCCTCCTTCTAATTGCCCTAATAATGAGAAGTTCTTAGGAGTTACAAGTATCATCTTCCCATGCAGGAATGTAAACAATTTAACCTTATTGAATCCTTTCTGGTTTCTCTTTCTTGTTTATCTTTTTGTGCTTCCTTTGAGTCTTGTACCGAAAGTCAAATTTTCTATTCAGCTCTGGTCATTTCATCAGGAATGCTTGAAAGTCCTCTATATTTCACAGAATATCCATTTTTCTCCCCTGAAGGATTATACTCAATTTTGATGCGTAAGTGATTCTTGGTTGGTATCTTAGCTCCTTTACCCTCAAGAATATCACATTCCTACCTCTCTGGTCCTTTAATGCAGCAGCTAAATCTTGTGTTATCCTTATTGTGATATCTGAATTATTTCTTTCTGGATGCCTGCAATATTTTCTTCCTTGACCTAGGAGCTCTGGAATTTAGTTATTATATTGCTGGGAGTTTCATGTTGGGATTTCTTTCAGGAGGTGATCAGCGTAGTCTTTCAATTTCTATTTTACCTTCTGGTTCTAGAATATCAGGCCAGTTTTCCTTGATAATTTCTTGAAAGTTGATGTTTAGGCTCTTTTTTTTTTATCATTGCTTTCGGAAAGTCCAATGATTCTTAAATTATGTCTCTTCAATCTATTTTCCAGATCAGTTGTTTTTCTAACAATATTTCATATTTTCTTCTACCTTTTCATTCTTTTGGTTTTGTTTTATTATTTCTTGATATCTCATGGATTCACCAGCTTCCTTTAGTCCAATTTTAATTTTTAAGGAATTATTTTCTTCAGTGAGCTATGTACTTCCTTTTACATTCTGCCAATTCTACTTTTTAAGTAGTTCTTTTCTTCAGTGGATTTTTGTGTCTCTTTTACCATTTGGGCTATTTTGATTTTTAAAGAGTATTTTTTGTGTCTCCTTTACCAAGCTGTTGACTCTTTTTTCGTGATATTCTTGCAACACCCTCATTTCTTTCCTAATTCTTCCTCTACCTCTTTTGTGATTTTTCAAATCCTTTGTGAGCTCTTCTAGGAATTCTTTCTGGGCTTGCAACCAATTCACATTTTTCACTGAGGCTCTGGATGTAGCTATCTTGACTTTGTTGTCTTTTCAGTTTGTGTTTTGATCTTCTGTGTCACCATAGTAACTGTCTATGACCCTATTCTTTTTTTGTTGTTTGCTCATTTTTCCAGTCTATTTCTTGACTTTTAACTTTATGTTGAAGTTGGGCTCTGCTCCTGGAGTGGAGGGGGTTCTGTCCCAAGCTTCAGGTTTTTTGTGTAATTGGTTTCGAAACTAGTTCTGGAGTGTCCGTACATTTTAAGTTCTTCCAAGGGGGTATGATCTAAAGAGAGGCATGTTTACTACTCTCCTGGACTGTGCTCTTATCTGTGAGTGACCACAAGCACTCTTTCCACCCTGGAACTGTAACCAAAGTCCCTGCTCCCCTGTAGCTTCAAACTCTGGTGCCTCTCCTCATCCTGGGACTACAACCTAGGACTGGGACCTAGATTTGCACATGGACCACACAAAAGAGTCTGCACCCACTACCAGCAAAGGGACCCCTGTAATCATCTTCTGACCTTTTATCTGACCTTTTTACCATCTGTAGGCTGAAAGCCCTGGAATCCTCTGTTTCTGCTGCTGATTCAGTTGCCTCCACAGCCTGCTACTGGTTTGCTGGGGTGTGGCCTGCACTAGACCGTGCTCCATTTCATCCTGGTGCAACAGACCTTTCCTGCTGACCTTCTAAGTTGTCTTGGCCAGGAAAATTGTTTCACCCTGTCCTTTTGTGGTTCTACTGCTCCAGAATTTGTTTCGAGGCATTATTTAAAGTTGTTTGGAAGGGAATTTGGGATAAGTCAAGAGAGTCTCTGCCTTCTCTCTGCCATCTTGGCTCTGGCTCCCCTCTCCACCCCATCCCCATGTGAAATGTTTTTCAAAGGACTACGTTATCCTCGAAAGATAAAAATTGTATTCATCCTGTCACAAACTGGATGAATCTATGATTCCATCAATGTGGGTACTACCTCCAACACTGCAGATCACAATCACCCTTTCACCCTGTGCAACTAACTTCCATCTATGTTCCCCCATAAATTTTCTACAAAATGTCCATTTAACATGCTTGGGGCACTCCTTTAAATCTGCTAACGCTGCATAGACACTAATGGAGCAAAGAAAGTATCCTTCCATTACACCTTCTGATGGCATGGACACCTTACTTCTTCTAGTAACATATCTCTTAGGCCTCACTGCTGGTGAGGCACTAAAGCTCACACATGGGCTTCAATAATACTAATGACTGACATTTACACAGCATTTTAAAGTCTACAAAGCATTTTTACATATGTTCTTTTGTTTGAGTCTTTGGGTTACCTGAAACTTTAATACTTCAGAAACTATGGTTATTTCATGACTCACAGTCATACAGGATATTTGGATTTATGTAAATTATTTTCTGTGAACTTAAATAATTTTAAAAGCTATGTTTAAATGTTCATGATTTAGCTTTACTTAAAAAATCAGATGTCAAGATTTGGAACTATGAGATTATTACTAGGTAGATAATTTCTAATCATTTACTACTTCAACAAACAGTAGATCAGCGGCAGTACTGTCCTCTACTTATCTGCGGTAAGACAAATTAAGTTCAAATACTACAACCCATTTCTACAGGCAATAATTCTGACATTAAAAAACCCTACTAACTAAATAACCATAAATCAGAAATGAGACAACTCTTGTTCATTTGAAGCAAGCAATGAATTCACTGTCTCTAAACCATAATGAATTATATTCATGTGAATAGTTACCATTCTTCATTTCCCTCTATTCCTTTTTCAGGAAAAAAATGTATTCTTTTGTATATCCTTGCCTTCTCCTCACCTATCATTCTATTATGCTGATCTATAGATCTTAATAAATACTATTTCAATATGTTTTATAAGAATATTTTGATACTTCAATGATCAGTGATCAGTGATTGATACTTTATTTCAGTGATCTTATCCATGTAGGTAGTACCACAACAGTAAGAGACCACAAGCCATCTGTGCTTTCTTATTCTATGCAACTCTTGTACCTGTTCTCTCATAAATCCTCCAGAGGTGTTCCACCTTTCATACTCCTGGCGTTCCTTGGACATCAACAGAACACATGAGTTATCCCTCCCTCTAACTTCACAAATGCCCAGCACATTTTCTGGTCATATAGCTTTTTGATGATATCTTATATGACTTCTGGAGTTCTATTCTTCATTGGCAATATACTCCAGCTTATATATGATTACTATGCATTCTTCCATTAGCTTCTGGATCACCTGAAATTTTGCTTCTCTGGAGAGAGTGATATTCCATGACACTAAGTGCACAATATGCTTTATCAATTTATGGACAGGAGATGATATAAGAATAGAAATTTCCATTACCAAAAACTGAATATTGAAAAGCACTAGAGGAACTAATGAGGAATGTGGAATACCTATTCACATACAGCAGTGCAAAAAGATTATGAAACTGGAGGGATTCTTGTGCAACTTTCAAGATTTCATGAAATATGAAAGAGAAGTTATTTTGTCCAATGATCCTAATCATTAATATCAAGCTAGGCACAAAATAGGGAGACTTTTGCTCACCAAAGGTGTTTACCACTATCATGGAGGATGTCCAGCAAAGTGTTCAAGTGGCAGAAGTATTCCCAATACTTCATGAAATCCCCTATAGGCTCCTCTTTGCAGATGACATTGTGTGGTTTACAAGAAGTCCCTGAATACTGTAGAGCCTCCTAAAGAAGCTCATACACTGAATAACAAATTAGAGACCTAAAAAGATCTCAACAGATCAGCACAGGAACTGAATCTGTTAAAAAAAAAATTCAACTTCACAAGTACAAGATGAGAGAGATATGGCTAGACAACAACAGTTCATCTGAAAAAGATGAAAAAGGGGTTTTAATGGGCTACAAACTCCATGAGTCAACAGTATATAATAGCCAAAACTATTATTATTAATATCATATAATAAAAATAGTTATTACTGTTATTACAGGCTGCATTAAGAGGTATAATGGACTACTGTCTAAGAAAGTGAATGGCTTATATTCTACAATGATCAGACCATATTTGAAGTATTTTGTTCAGCTCTGGGCACCACATTTTAGTGAGGATATTAATAAGCTTGGAGTGACCATGAAAGTAGTTTTCAAATAGCTGAAGCTGTCATGTGGAGGAGAGAGTAGAAATGTTCCATCTGACCCCAGAGGGCAATAGTGGGTAGAAGCAATCTCAGAGTGGAATAGACTCTTTGAGAAAATAAGGGGTGATCTCCTCATTAGAGGTCTTCAAACAAAAGCTAGATGACCAGCCAGTCAGTCAACAAACATTTATTAAGCACTTACTGTGTACTAGGCACTCTGCTAAGTGCTGAAGATATAAAGAAAAGAAAAAAAAACATAGTTTGCCTTCAAGGAACTCACATTCTAATGGGAGAGACAACATGCAAACAACTATAGCCACCTGTTACACTATAAAGGGGATTATTTTTCAGTTACAGATTGGATATTAAATGGAATCTCTTAGGTTCCTTCCAACGTTGAAAAAAAATTTGACCCAAGAATCCACATAGGAAAAATCAAGTGGATGAAGAGTTCCTATTGTCGAAACTATCATATACAGTTGGATCAAAAGCCCAATGACACACTGACAAATAGGTCCATTAACACACAGACCTTAGAGATACTACAGATGAACAATTAAATGGGCCCCAAACTGAGTAAGTAGTAAAAGTAGTCTGGACTGCTCTTAGAAAATTTTTCAGTGCCTTGTAGGACCTCAAACTTCTCCCTGAAATAAGTAATATAAATACATCATCTTTTTTAAAAAGTAGGAATACATACAGAAAAATTAGTGGGAGAACCTACATTGTTTTCCATGGCAAGGCGACGAACTGCAGGAGTTGCTAGTGTTTTGTGGCCCTTTATCTCTTGATGTGTATGTTCATCATGAAACACTGCAGGAGTTTCAACAACATCTTCTTCTGAATCTGGAAATAAGGAAGAAGATTGTACCAATTAAAAATACTAAATGAAAACCGATTTTAGTTTCTATAAGATATTAAACACAAATTCATATTTTTTCTCTAAAAATAAAAAATACATCAATGTCAGATTGGGTATTTGATAACAGCAAAACATATTGCTACCTATCAGAAATTGAGCATACAGTACCAACAACATTCCAAAAGGAAGTACTTCATAGTACTGGAAGGCAATTCTAAAGGTGCCTATTACCAGATAAAGGAAAATTATGTATGTATTTGTGTAAAATTATTTAAGTAGCAGTTACAAGTCAAAGGAGAAAAATAATTTATCTTCCACAAACTGATAATGCATGTTGCACATAAATCATTTTCCGATTTATTTTCTAACTCTAAAACTGAACATAATATGAAATGAGGACTAGGAATGTTGTGGCTAGAAAAACAGAAATAAGACTCAGAAAATACCCTCTACAACATCTCAAACAAGTGGTCATCCAGGCTCAGTTTGGAGACCTCTAGTAAGGAAAATACCCATTATCTACTGAGTAACCCATTCTATTTGTGGTTATTTCTAATGGTTAGGAAGTTTTTCCTTACCTCAAACCTAAATCTACCTCCATGCAACTCCAACCTATTGCTCCTAGTTCTGTCTTCTGAGGCCAAGCAGAACAAGTCTGTTACCTATTACATATGATAGCCTTTGAAATCCTTGAAGGGGGTGTCATGTCACCTTGAGAATTCTCTCCTCCAAGCTAACTATGTCCAGCCCAACTAATTTTCATACTGCATGAATTCAAGGTTCCTCACCATCCTGGTTGCCCTTACCTGAAAACACTTTAGTTTTTCAATGTCCTTCCTAAAATACACAGAATAGGACAGAATGTTCTAGATATGGTCTTACCAAGGCAAATACTACAGAATTATTACCTCTATAGTTTCATGACTCTCTTAACGTAACCAGAAATTGAATTGTTTTTTCGGTTTGCAATAATGACACATTGATGACTCTTATTGAGCTCGCAGTCTGCTAAATGCCCACAGATCTTCAAGTGTCTTGAACTGATTAAGGGCAATTAGGTGCTCACTGACTATCTACTTACTGATCTTAAGTACTAACCTTTATTAACCAGTTTTGTTCTCTCTTGTTCTGTCTACTCCCAAGCAGAAAATAAAGAAGGAAAATAAGAGTTGAGAAGTTCTGCCTTCTTCTGCCATCTATTTGTTTTTACCCAATCTGAGCAGTGGTCCAATCCTTTCTTTTTCTCAATATAATTTAAAAATACCTTTATGTCATACTCAAATTTTTTTTTTTGCCAACCTCAGTCATTCTGAGTTTTCATAATAGATGCCATGTTTTTATAAGGGCTCTTCATTGTCTTTTTGGTGACCTGAAACTTTAATTCGTCAAAGGATATGGTATTGTATAATTTGCAATCATATGACATCAATGAATGCCATAGGCCAGACCTCTATTTCAGAGAAATGGCTACTTATTATCAGCAGTGTGATCGTTAGCAATAACAACAGCTGTTTTACGTACAGCCTTAAAAGTTTACAAAGGACTTTTAACTGGATTCTTCAAACAATCTAGTGAAGTAGGCATTATCTTCAATCTACAGATTAGGAAACTAATGCTGAGAGATGTGACTTGGCCACAGTCACACCTCAGCAGTATCAGATCTGACTCACTTGACATTTTAGGCTAAACCAGGGGTGGGAACCTACAGCCTCAAGGCAACATGTGTCCCTCTAGGTCCTCAAGTAAGACCCTCTGACTAAATCCAAACTTCACAGAACAAATCCCATAATGCAAGGATTTGCTCTGTAGAACTTGGGACTCAGTCAAAAGGCCACACCCAAGGACCTAGAAGGCCATATGTGAACTAGAAGCTGTAAGTTCCCCATCCCTGGGCTAAACTAACCTGAGTGTCTTCTGATTCCAAACTCAGCACTTTTCCTCCTATACTACATCTTTTCTCTAGTCATTATGCACATCTATAGTTCAAAGCACTTTGTTGTTACCTATTTTTCAAGACTATCACTTTGACATATTTAACAGCTCAGGATGAAATTAAGAGGTATACTTAGTTGAGTTATATCAATCAACCAACAAGCATTTTTAAAATGCTTCCTATGTGCTAGGCAACAGAGAGACAAAGACAAAAACTGTATTTTATTGGAAAAAATAACGTGTGTATGTACTTACATACATACAGATAAAATATAAATATATAGATATAGATATACAGATATATATATACACACACACATATAAACCAAAGTAATTTGGAAGGGCATTACTAGCTGAGGGAAAAGTCTACTCATGTTATATATGCATTTGTAGTTATCAGATATATCACATTTGATCTTGGTTAAAGTCTTATGAATTAAGAATTTACACCACATGGAATTTTCTTTCTTATGGGTTGATTTTAAATGGAGAATTTAATATTTTATAAAGGCTTAAATATTTTTCATAAAGAATGAAAAACTATCAAAGCAGTAGTCACACTTCCTACTAAAAATGTTTTTTTTAATTTTAGATATTTTATTTGTTTTAATCAGCTAAGATTCACCTTCTTACCTTCCTAACCCTCCCCATCCAACACTGAGAACATAAGAACCCATTACCAATATGTATAGTCAACCAAAATAAATTTTCTCATTGCTCATGTCAAAAAAATTTTCTTATTCTGTATTCTCAGTCCTTTATCTCTCCATGACGAAGGCGGCAGCATATTTCATAATCAGTACTCTGGAATCCTGGTTGTTCATGACCCTGATATTAACCAAAATAGTATTTATCAAATTTATATACCATTACTTGTTCATCCATTTCTCCAATTTATGCGTATCTCTTCAGATTCCCATTCTGACAGAAGCAATAAATATTTTTGTACATCTTTAGAGCTTGTTTTGCTTAGGACTAATCCCTCCCTTAATCTGTTCTCCTAATTCTACTTCCCTCATTTCCCTCTTATTTCCCCATTAAGTGAAATGTGTTTCTAGATACAACTGTGTGTGTGTGTTTATTCTTCCTTCTTTTAACCAGTTTAGATAAGAGTGAGGTTCAAGTGTCAACTGTTCATCCACCGAGTCCTTCTCTGTATAGATATCTCCTTGTGCACCCTAATTATGTGAGGTAATTTTCCCTAACCTTCCTTTCCCTCCTTCTCGAGTATTTCCTATTCCCCTCCCTTTCCATTCCTTTCTTACAATCATTAAGATATGATAACCATTCCTTGTCTAATTGGACTCCTATGAACCCCCATGATAGGGTTCAGGAGGGAAACATTTAATCTCCCCACATTTGAATGTTTTTCTTTGAGGCACTGCTTGTAGATGTTTCGGAGTATTTCTCTTCTGTTAGTATCTTGAGCTTCTGTCAACATAGTAAATCATTATGGTAGGATTATGGTAGGGTTCTTTTTTTTGTTTATCCAACCTTCCAGACTACTTCCTGACTTTAGAATTGGTGTTAGGGCTGGGCTCTGCCATACGTCTGGAAGGTAGATAGCATTCTTTTTGCTGTCTTCTTGGGTTACTGAGTTTTGTGTTATTGCAGCATCTCCAGGACAGGCTGGGGATTTGCAAGTTTTCCCAATAGTGGACCCAAAGTGATCCAAGGCAAAGTCTGATTGCTGCCCCCAGTCTGAACTCTGCAAATTTCTGACCTGGGTTTGGATCTGTGAAAGAGCAGACTACTACTGGACTGTGTACCTATTAGCCATCTGGAAAGCTCTGGTGGTTCAGAGTAGAAGAACTGTAGGCTCCCCTTTGGTCTAGAGGAGGTCTACAGAGTTGCGGTGCTGATCTCATTGTTGTATGCCTGTGTAATCTAGACAGAATACCAGTGCCATGCCAGGAAACTAAGTCGCTTTCATTTGAATTGTCTAAGGAAGATTCTGAAGATCATCCGGCAGAATAAGGTACCAGACACTGAGGTCCTTTCTTGAGCTAAGGGGCCAAGAATTCAAACTCCATTGCAGAGTGCACAATTCTGATGGAATGGCCATGTTGTTTGAATGCAAAATGTATCCTTGCCTAAAAGACCATTTTATGAAGAACTCACAGAAGACAAGTGCTCACATGGTGGTCAGAAGAAGCAATACAAGGACACTCTCCAGGTCTCTCTGAAGAACTCTGGAATTGATTGTGTAAGATGGGAGACACTGGCAAAGCACTGCCCAGCATGGTGGACCCACATTAAAGAAGGTGTTGTGCTCTATGAGCAAAGCAGAATTGAAGTAGCTCAAAGAAACTCGAGATGCATAAATTTAGAAAATCCACTCCAAATGTTCACATACACTATTTATGCCCCACCTGTGGTACAGCTTTCCAAGGTCTGATCAGCCACAGCTGGACTGACTCTAACATAGTGGTGTCAATTTTTTTTTATCAAACTTATTTATCTCGGTCCAGATTAAAAGCAACAAATTAGAAGAGAAAGGATAAAGCAATTACAGTTGTACGTAAGACACCAGTTTAATAAAATGACAGAAGAGAAAGAAAAACTCGTTAAGTTAAAATAGAACAACACTGTATATACAATGCAATAATTAATGTTCATAATGATAAACATTTATCATCAGGAAGTTAAATTATGTTCCATACCATTTGTTAGTAAGTTACAAAAATATAAAGACATATATCCAAGAAAGTAAAAATAAACAAGAATTTCACAATAAAAAGGGCATATACTTCAGTTTTTTATTCTTTTATGTGGAACACTTTATTCCCCATACATGCCAGATAAATGAGATGACATGGAGTTTACAAATTATATAAAGGAGGCTAGAAAAAAAAATGTGTTTTATAGTATCATTACTGTGGAGAACCAAATAATTTAATGGAAGTTTTTATGAGCCACACTTTGGAAACTACAACCATCACAACTCATTTATATAGCACTATAAGGTTTACAAAATGTTTTCCTTACAACCCTGTGATGTGGTGATTTGGAAATGAGAAAACTGAAGCTCAGAGAAGTTAAATGAGCAGCT